TGTGAACCCATATCTATTATATCTAAACAAGTTTCCTGATAGAAAAATCAACATCATTTATATGATGAATTATAGAGAGATAGACAGACAGATGGATAGATAGATAGATAGATCATAGATGCATTAGTAAGGAGTAGATCTGCATTATAATATGGTACAGTCATCTACTCAAATCCAAATAATGTTTTGCATGTAGATTGCATATTTTAAAAGTTCTAATTACCTCAGTAGGTCCTTACCACTTTGCTAAATACACTTGAACAAAATGCAATCTACAGAGTAGAAAATGTCAACATTTATTGAATTGCAGTTAAAAGCCACTGAATGAATATATCCTACTCATTTTATCATATCATCTGTGGGATTTCACGGGAACATCTGTGACAATAACTTCCACATGGCACATAAAGGAAGACTCATTGAGCTATCTCTGCTGGAGTTTAGTGCTTGTTACTGGACACACATATCAGCATTTGTATTAGTATTCAAGGGATAAAATTCTTGGCACACAACTGAGCGACAAAGTGCTCATAAAAATGGAATCACTTATCCATAAGCATAAGTTTGAATCACAGGGTGTAAATATGTATAGTTTAAAATATTTAGAGCATATCTTAAAGGAGAGTTCTATAATCTGAGAGTGCTGTGGTTACTTGGACTGAATAAGGAATTTGAGGTTGTTCTCACATTAAGGTCCCGGTGCTATGCTTCACTCAGGTAGAACAGGTTTGTGATAAAAAAGTGAAGGAAAGCTAATTGTCTGACTGACACCTAAGTGGGCAAAACTTCTTTTCTGGGAATTTTTTAGTACAGATGTCTTTTTTTACTCCAGTTTGGATGTTCTAATCATTTCTGGGTCTGAAAGCAATTCAGAATCAATATATTGTAATTTTTGTGATTGACCATATCTTGCAATGCGTCATCATATCACCATTTTCTAAATGGACAGGAAGTAGGTAAACATCAAATTCACATTTGGATACTGAACGGGTTGGGAATGAGAGCAGGACTCATGCAAATGTTAAACTTTTTGGAATTGTCACCCTATGTGTGATACAAAAGGAGTGAAATGAGGTGTATTCACTAAAAAAAAAATTCCACACACCTATGCATCACATATGCAAGTAAAACTCCATTGTAAATTCTTTGTAAATATTAACTCACTTCACACTACAAAAAATGGGTAATTTCTCACTTGTTTAGCTAATGAGGTAAGTGAACAGATAAATTTTCATGAGAGCTTAGAGCAGGGCTGCAGGGAAAGACTGAATTGAAAGTAAGCACTTAGATTCCAGAGGCAAATTTTGAGTTATAATATATAGCCCTTCGTAATTGGTGATATTTTACATTTCTGTATGATTAATGTCTCCTTTATGTAATTAATGAACATTTTTAAATGTGACTAATTTCACTTTTCTTTCAGAATTTTACCTGAAAATGGTATTAGTGTATCACTCAAGTTTCTTCTTTTTAATAAGATTAAGATTTTTGTTGTGAAAATACTGTACAGATGGGTTACAGTTACATAAGCAAGGTAACGAGTACATTTCTCTTTTTTGCATTTTTTATTGTAAAAATACTGTACAGAGGGGTTACAATTCCATGGACAAGATAATGAGTACATTTCTTCTCAAGCATTGTTACCTCCTCCTTTGTTTCCCCTTCCTATCCCTTCCGATCTCCCTGCCCCCAACCAGCCTCCCCTCCCTGCCAAAGTTGTAAAGTTCCTTTTTCCACTTAATGACTTGTACATCTCATTGTTGCAATGGGTCCACCTGTATCCCTGTTTAAATGATTTGTTTTTCCCCTTCCCCTCCACAAATTATACCAACATCAAATACAGGGAAAGCAGAGGTTAAACCATGGGGGAGGGACATACAAAGCAACAAAGAAATATCTTATCAATATGTTAGAAACAATCTCATGAAAGAAAAAAAATTGAATCCTTATTTTGGGGTTCATTTCACCTTCATTTATCCAATTATCCCAAACAAGACCACACTAAAGCTGCCAGCACAACTATAGTTATTGCAGCATTATTTACCATAGCTAAGATATGGAACCAACCCAGATGCCCCTCAGTAGATGAATGGATCAAGAAAATGTGGTATATATACACAATGGAATTCTATGCCTCCATTAGAAAGAATGACATTGCCCCACTTGTTAGGAAATGGAAAGACTTGGTAAAAATTATATTAAGTGAAGTAATCCAGGCCCAAAGAAACATAGGTCTCATGGTTTCCCTTATTTGTTATAACCTGTGTGCCTATCTTGAGGTTCATTTCGCCTAATGTCATCTTATGTGATCATATCTGTAGATGTGTAACACAATATAGGAAGCCAGGCATTGGTGGCTCAAGACTGTTATCCTATAGACAGGCTGGGGTCTGAGAATTGAACTTAAAAGCCAGCCTAGGCAGGAAAGTCTATGAGACACTTTTCTCCAATAAACCACCAAAGTGACAGAAGAGAACCCATGGCTCAAGTGAAAGAGCACTAGCTTTCAGCAAAATCAGGGAAAAGTCAATAGAATCTGGGTTCAGTCCCTAGGAGCCACACCAGACATACACAGGAATATGTACACAAAGAAATCTTCATTAAGCATAAAATTATGCTTGGTAGAAAATCCTGTCATCAACATACCTCTGCATTCGTTAAAAGTTATGATACCTCTCATTTTTATGATGTCCAATTCGAAGGGAATACTTACATAGATCTTAAAAACAGTTTTATATGTCCAGACATGTAGATGAGAAAAAAAGAGAAAAATCTTTTCATTTCCTTAAATACACACAGAAATGCCTAAGTATCAGAGAAGAGAAACCCTATGCACAATCTGAATTTTTAAAGTATTTTCCTGTGTGAATAAAATGAAGATAATTTAGCTTTGAGATTGTGGGGTTCTCTGTAACTGTAGGTCATTGTAGTTAGTTTCCATTTCTCCGATATTGTTTCTCTAATTAAAGGCTTCCTAATGTTAGTATGTCCTTGTTGATTTTTAAATTGCAATTGCAAATCACTTAACAGCATCTCAAGTCCAGAAATCCTCTAAACCCTTTTAGCTTCACTATTGATATTCTAATCATGGAATTAGAGCATCTTCAGTAAGCAGATGAGCTAATGTAGATGGGCTTTCTTTGGTGTACAAATCAATAAAAAGATATGGTGATGACTTTCAGTTCCATAAGCTACCTACTGGAAATGAACATCACTTTTCAATTACTCATATTTAAATACATGTAATTTGCACTAAAAACTTTATCATTTCCATTATTTTAAAACTGTCCATGCCCTCAGTTTGTACACGTATCTTGCTATGTTAAAATCTAGTGGAATATTTGTGTCGCATATTTATCATTTCTTTGTTTTTCAACTAGGTTTTATTCTCATCTTCTCTTTGGAAAGTAGGCAGCATTAAAGAAACATGCTTGATGATAGAATATTGACAATAAGCATAACCTGAGTCTGGGAGCAAGTGGTTCTTCAGTTCATGGAGTAGGAACAGAGGAAAAGTGCAAGGTTCATCTCCTAATGGTAGAGAGTCCCATTATGGAGGGTGCCACCAGAGATTTCCTGCTTCCACTCACCAAGAAAGAGTATCCATTCTGGTGAACCACCGATGGTCTTCATCACCATAAATCACATCCTCCATTTTATCAAAGCAGTTATAGGAAGGAGAGTGCACGCACCTCCACATCGACTCAGTAATTAATCCGAAAGACTCCTGAAGTTCCTTCCATTAAAGAGTTGCCAAAATCTTCAGGGGACGGTTGGAACAAGGAGTCTTGTGTGTGTTCCCAGTCATAGAGTTCGTGGAGGCTGCTAAGTGTTAGTCTTGCCAGTCCACCTTGTGCCGCCCTTTGAAGGTCACCTTGACATTCATATTACATCCCTGTTGAGCTTTCAGATGCTACTCTGTTGAGGTTATCTTCTGCTCCTCCTGTTTTCTCTGTAACAGCACCAAATATTTAACACCACGCAAGCCAAATCTGTGCATTAAGTCATCTTCCCTGGCAGCTCCCACAATGCCAGCAAGCCCCTAGTTTACTTACTCCCACTCCCCTTGCCAGCCTCCGGATTTCTCAGCCATTTGCTTCAAACCTTGCTTCGGGCTCAGGTCGTGTGTTACTATACACACTCGCACATGACCGTGGGAGATGAGTTACCACCATCCCTTGCACATTCCAGCCAAAGTCTTATCAGTTCTTTATTTCAGAGTTTTCAAATTCCTTTCTTCCAGCACTTTCAAATCTACAGCACTTTATTGTTATCTAACGTCGCCTTACTGTGCAGTCGCACACCAGAACTTCTTGCTCTGTGCCATTGATCATCATTTCCCTCTCTTTCTTCCACTACTTTCTCAGGCTTTGTGGGCAACGAAATTGCTAACTTCTCTAAGGTCCACGGTTTCAGATTTTATGTATGTGCGAGACCAACAAGTACCTGTGTTCTCTGTGTTGGTTTTGTAGTGGTCTCTGTTTTCAAGATCCCATCTTATCAAGAAACTGAATAGATTGACACTGAATGTGGCTACTTTATTTCATTTATCTATTAGCCAATGGATACCTCTATTGTTTCAATGTCTTCCATATTGAAAAAAATCCTGTAATGTTCAAGGGCACATGGATGTCTTTTCAACATATAGTTTTCACTTCATTGGATATAGCCCCAAGAGTTGATTGCTAGATCAGATAATGCTTCTATTTTTAATTTTAGAGGATCTTCCATATTACATTCCATAATGGTTGTTTTTATTTAATTCCCACTGGCGACTTTTCAGGATTCCCATTTCCACATTCTTACCAATCCTGAACACTAGGTCCAAATTAATTGGTTCATCTTGACCATATTTTGAGTAAAATGATTGAATTATCTTCCATGGAAAAATATTCATGATGTCCCTGAGAATGCTAACTTCCAAAGGAAAATGGCATCTGGCAGATAACAGACTGAATTCTTTAAAAGCAAACAGTCAGTTTCAACATCTTCTTTTGCAGGTGCCTATGTCCTCCAGGTCAAGGCCACAGACGCGGATGACCCAACCTATGGAAACAGTGCCCGCGTGGTGTACAGCATTCTCCAGGGACAACCTTACTTCTCTATTGATCCCAAGACTGGTAAATTCTTTATTCGAGACAGTATTATCACCAGTTCTTCAAATATTTAAGTCTTAATTAAAACTTGGCATGAGAAATTGCATGTTCTAATAAAACGATACAGATTTGGTGAGCCCCACATTAGATAAAGAAGGTATCTTACTTGACTGATGTACAACTCTTTCTCTTCTATTGAGGTTTGTGTAAATATCAATATTTTCATATCCATGAATAATGCTGAAACATGAAAGCTACAGATTTTCTGTTTGCCTTATTTTAAGTTTTCAGAAGTCAGTGCTTATTTTGTTCATCGGACTTAAAATAGCTTTTCATTTCAGGGCTCTTAGTTGAGTTCATTTGCTTACTGATTGCCAGCACTGCATGGGAAGTATGGGTATTTCCATGCATGGAAAGATCCTGACCTGCTGCTGTATGGAAAAGTTGTGAAGAGAAGGTTTTGGTGAATACTGACATGCTTATAATCAGGAAACCTTGAAACAGTATGATCCTCAACTCTTAGCCTTGGTGTTCAAAGCTAACTTAAAATGATCATGAGTAAGTCAACTACAGATATCCAAATCAAATATTCTATGAGTAGCATAAAATATACATCCACATTGGAAGGCATATATGGCCTTTTAGGTCTCTATTATTTGTGATTCTTATGACCAAACCCAGACCCTTACTCATACTATTCAACATTATGCTACTGGAAGTTTGTTAAGAGATTTTTTGAAAACTCACTTGGTATCCAATACCACAGATAAAGTAGAAAATTTCATCCATTTAATCAATTTTAAATCATAGTTTATAGTTTATTGTAATATGAATTAAATGCTACTTATTGTATAGCTAAAGAAACAATATCAATTTTTGACCTACAAGTCTAAGGTGTCATTTGGTAAATTGTTTCTTACATACTAGACTAAAATAAATTTAAAAAGTATTAGATAGATGGATAAGTAGATATACAGGTACATCTCTTTATTTTTACAATCCTGTTCAATCCACCCGACTTTTCCAGTAGTTATGAAGCTGAGAATAAGAAATGCAATCACTGCCTCATGTAATAAAAACACTTTTGCCAGGCATTGGTGGCTCATGTCTGTAACCCTAGCTACTCAGGAGCCTGAGATCTGACGATCGCGGTTCAAAGCCAGCCCCAGCAAGGATAGTCCATGAAATTCTTATCTCTGATAAACCACCAGAAAACCGGAAGTGGTGCTGTTGCTCAAATGGTAGAGCGCTCCCCTTGAGCTGAAAAGCTGAGGACAGCGCCCAGGACCAGAGTTCAAGGCCCATGACAGACAAAAAAATAATAAAAAAAATAACCCAGAGAAAAAACACTTTTAATATGGATTTCTTTGAGAAAAAAAAAGGGATTATCAGCTGAAAAGAATCAGAAATTCTGAAGAGAATTCACCTACTCGTTTTGATAAAAATGCTGAAGATTAAGAAGCCTGAATGTACAATGTATATAAAGGAAAGTCACATTTATAAGCTATTTAAAAAAAATCATGGTATATATGGGAACAAGTAAAGTAATACTATTGTTAAGGAAATTTCATGGCTTTTATTTAACTATTGAAAATCATACATAACTATAGAAAAAGGGGAAAATGGGAGGGATGAAGTTAAGAAGCTGTCTATGAGATTTATAATTCTGTAAATACCCAGAGAAGTCAACCCAAAAGTATATATACAATAAAATGATGGAAAAATATTTAAACTCTTAGATTCTATCAGAAGCGATTACCATGGCCTACATTTTTCTCATAGATCCATGCATCTTTTCAAAATTGATCTTAATGGTCAAAATAACCAGAAGTGTATATGGATGACGCCTTTCTCTTATACCCCTTCAGTAACACTCCTCAGCGAAAGAAGAAAGAGGGTGCGGAGCAAAGATGGTATATAGATATGAGTGAAGAGAGGATTGGTGTTAGTTTACTCTTACATAGTTTAACCTACAAACTGCATGAAATCTGTGAGTTTAATGCCTAGTGTAAGAAAGTCCAGGAGAGCAGACTTAATATTTGTTAAATATCTTTAAATGGCAGAGATGAATCCAACATCCAACACAATCAAGAAAACATTATGCAAGATAGTTTAAACAGCATCCACAACGTGATTTGAAGACAAGTTAAGATGATATCCCAGAAACTAAAACTGATGGAAAACAAATCTTGCTTGGAAAGTCCTCAGCAATGTATTTGGCAACTGTATTGATTTATGACTTTGTTCTTTCTGTGACTGTAACAGTTTGCTTAACTTCTCTGATGGTAGAGCATGTTATTAAGGATAAATTGAACCTAGGTTTCTGGGATCACTAGCATTTGTTTCAGGTAAACTATTTTCCTATTACCTTTAAAAACAGGTCATATATGATTTAAGAAAATAAATTCAGTGAAATTAATTTGGGATAATATAATCTGAATCAAAATATTTTCTCTTCCCTTGACTTTACTTAAGCAGAAAGAAAGGTAGACAAATTCTAGTGTTTGTAAATAGCATTATTTTATAATAGACTATTCATATATTGTTTGTATTTATAAACATATTGTGGTTTGATAATTTTGTATTTGTAAGATTTTTTTTTCAGTTGGACATGGGGCTTGAACTCTGTCCTGGCCACTCACTGTCCCTGTGCTATTCCCCTCTAGGCAAGCGTGCTACTGCTTGAGCTACAGCTCCACTTCTGGCCTTCCAGGCTGACTTTGAACCGTGTTCCTCAGATCTCAGCCTTCTGAGTAGCTAGGATTACAGGTGTGGCCACCAGAGCCCAGCTGTATTTGTATTCTTAAATGATGCTTAATGTTTATAAATAAAGGTGAAACGCTTCTGGCATAAACTACTCAATAGATTTTTGAAGCATTGATTTTTTTTTTTTCCACTGGAGACAGAAGTCTTGATACTAACAATGCCTCAGACCACTAGACAGGAAAAGAGTGGGTGATGAGGTACTTCATTAAGAGAGTGAAAACTAGTTGTTCATGCACAGAAGCCATTAAGAAGACTTCTTGTCAAATTTATCACCTTGTGGTACATATGGAAAGCCAAAAAAACAAGGATAATTGCGTATTCTACAAAATAGTCTCCATTCATTACAACTTATACAGCTATACGCTTCCTTTTATGATTGCTTTTGCCGTTATTAATTAAAATTCATGAGAAATCAATGCTATCTAAAAATTTCCACATCTGAGTATAGAAAACAGTTTGAAACAATACTTGAAAAAGATGCTCATAAAAAACTTTTGGTGCTTAAAGATTTAAGAAGAAAAATATTAACAATTTCATTCTTTTAAAAAAAGAAAATACAATGTGGGGCGTTGGTGGCTCACGCCTGTAATCCTAGGTACTCAGCAGACTGAGATCTGAGGATCACAGTTCAAAGCCAGCCCGGGAAGGAAAGGTCCTGATACCCTTATGTCTAATAAAGCACCAGAAAACGGGAAGTGGTGCTGTGGCTAAAATGGGAGAATGCTAACCTTGAACTGTAGAGCTGAGGGACAGTGCTCAGGCCCAGAGTTCAAGAACCACAACCGACAAAAAAAAATACCAGTTGTTTCTGTATTGCTGTTTGATAATATACTCTATTAGCAAGTATATATATATATATATATACACATATATATATAAATCATTAAAATAGATATGTTACATTAAATAAACTAAATAAGAAATCTCATAAAAAGTATGAAAATTATTTAATTAACAAATTTTAATACTCAGTATACACTCGTGTATGCTTGATATACCATCGTGTAATAATTGTCTATGACAATTATTAAATATTTATTCTCAAATATAAATGAAAATGTGCTTATTATATTACATGCAAATAGAACACTGACGTATTTATATATATATATATATTGCATAATTTTATTACATAAATTATCATGTTTAAAGTTTAAAACAATAGAAGTAAATATGATTTATAAAACTTTACATATGAGCAAAAACATTGCTTTGATTTTTTTCTTCACAATGACACATTTCCAATAACCTTGATAATAGATATAAATAGGGAATCAAATGTTACTGTAAAGAGTCAATTCCTATTTCTAAATTCAAGTTGAAGTGTTAGCAATGCCTTCAACTTTTTTCTAAGTAACTTCAATTGAGTCTTAAGTAACTCCAGTTTGATGCAGTGTGTAGTATAAAATGATGTTAATGATTTGAGCCCCTTTTGAGAAAGCATCATTATGATATTATTTCTTTTTTGCATCTCTTCCTTAATTTACAAATGTTACTTTTTCTATGCTCATAAAATACTAGGATATTTTAATTGTATAGTCAACAGCACTAATTAGTGCATTTACATAGCCCTGGAACCATTGCTACCATCTATCCCGAGAAGATTGTCCTCAATATCTCTTCACTTATGTGTATTTTCAAATATGTAACCTTTACAAATCTTTATTTATTTCTACCATATTTATAGAATTTGAATAAAAGGATTTGAGGCAGGAGATGGTTATTTCTCCTCATCATTTCACTGTTCTAATATTTCATGTTGGTTGATTTGGCTGGGCTCAAGTTTGCAGCACATATTATTGAATGTTTCCAAGATCTGTGTTCTTGAGTCTGTCATGCTTCATTCAGAGTTGTTTATCAGGCCACATTCTAAATGAAACTTCTAATGAACTGATATTATTTGAGTTAAAAAATTGTGTTCGTGCTTTAAAGCTCTATTTTTAAATTGTAGCATGGACTATATCATGTATTGTACTTTGGAAAATAATACAATTCTTAAGATATTTTAGTGTTTGGGCAGTTGTTTATTCGAAGATTTGTTGTTGGGGGATTTAATTTTTGAGCTCCAAGTATATTTTAGATATGAGACCCTTGTCCATTGTATGGCTAGTGAAGATCTTCTCCCGTTCCGTGGGCTTTCTATTGATCTTGCTAGCTATATCCTTTGCCATGCAGAAGCTCTGCAACTTCATGCAGTCCCATTTGTCCAACCTTTCTTTGATTTGTTGTGTTTCTGGGTTTCTATTAAGAAAATTTCGGCCTGAGCCAAGGAGACCGAGGGTTTCTCCTATTCCATCCTGTAATGTTTTCAGAGTGTCTGCTTTGACTCCGAGGTCTTTGCTCCATTTGGAGTTGATTCTGGTGCAGGGTAATATATAAGGATCTAGTTTGAAGTTCGTTTGATTTTAATTCAAAATAAAAATGATTTAAATTCAGAATGAAAATAATTTAAGAACACAGATAATTTAGGTTATGCTGGTAAGAGAATGACAATTTTATTCCTTCAAAGAAAAATAAGAGTATTTGCCTACACAAAGTGATCCTTGCTTTAATGTGTTTTAATAAAAGTAATGAATTACTAGGAAGCATGAAGACAGGATTGATTATGGACATAGCAAGGACAAGAAAATCAATAGATGCAAATAAATATAAGAAGCAAAAATGTGTCAAGGAAACATACAATTAATAAGATTAAACTGCACATTTTAACCTATTTGTAGTGTTTTACAAATGTGTTGTGATATCAGATGATCAGGAATGCAATATTGATACGTGTTTCTTGGACCTTACATTGACACAATTGAGGATAAATCAGAGAATTTTCCACTATCTGTGCTTTACAAATTACAAGATGGAAACATTGGCAGAATGTCTATGAAGGTTTCACCTTGAAAGGACAAAACTTCTTGTTTTGATTCCTGAGATGTTTTAGAGCTATTCTTTAGAAGAAGAATTAGAGATATTCTCTGATTCTCTAGAAGGAACACCTACCTATTGATGGCTAAAAGGAGCTGCAGGAAAAAAAAATAATTTTGGCTATGTAAGTATGTGTATGCATACACAGAAAAAAGCTGATGACAGCCAGACAATGGTGGCTCCTGCCTGTAATCCTAAGTACTCAGGAGGCAAGATCTCAGGGTCCAGGTTCAAAGCCAGCCAGAGCAGGAAAGTCCATGATACTCATTTTTTTTTTTTGGTCCGGTCGTGGGCCTGAATTCTGGGCCTGGGCACTGTCCCTCAGCTCTTCAGCTCAAGGCTAGAGCTCTACCACTTGAGCCACAGCGCCACTTCCGGCTTTTTTCTTTTTGTTTATGTGGTGCTGAGGAATCCAACCCAGGGCCTCAGGCATGCAAGGCAAGTGCTCTACCACTGAGCCACCTTCCCAGCCCCCCATGATACTCTTATCTCCAATTAAGAACCAGCAAACCAGAAGTGGCACTGTGGCTCAAGTGGTAGAGTGCTCACCTTGAGCTGAAGAGCTCAGATAAAGGGCCTAGGCCCAGAGTTCAAGCCCCATGACTGACAACAAATAAAATAAAATAAAACAAGGTGATGAAATCTATCCATACATAAGAATGGTGCCTCGTGAATATCTTAGGAGAGAAAATAGTAAACAAATGCTTTATTTCTGAGACTCTGATAAGAATGAAGTGCTTTGTATCTATTTAGGGACATCCAGCAAGCCCTCAGAAGAATACATTGGCGTTTCCTAATATATAACTCTATTATATCTAGGGCTACTATTTTGAACCATCTGCTATTGATTGATTAGGGGGATGGAAACTTTAATAAGTCCTAAAGAACAGATAAGGCATGTTGTAATCAAGATCTTGACACACAGTGTGTTATTTCTCTATTGAGCACACACCTTTTTCCCTAATAGAGATAAATGTCCAGGTTTGTCGCTATCATTTTTTCTCCTACTTGTCATTGATTTGTTGAATGACAGCACTCTATCCAAATACTTAATGATAAAAAATACAATTAACAACAACAAAAAAATCAGTAACTTCAAGAGACTTAAAAATAAAGCATCAGGAGCCTGAGCTAAAGAGAGAACAAACTGAATCAAAATGGTGTCTGGATCAATGTATGGATAAAATGTCAGCAACAGAAAAGAAAAAATGTCATTCTCTAGCTATGTGACTCTTCCTGACATTTTTTTTTTTGGGGGGGGGGGGGTTTAGATAGAAACTTAAGTCTAATTAGCAACAAAATAGCAGTTGTTATATAGAGAGTAAAAAGTACACATAAATAGGTATATAAGATTTGAATACTATGTGCTTGTAGAGGTGGCTGATATTATCTTTATTATTCATGGATGTTTCTTTATTTAAGATACAAATTACCACAGCCTTGTGCTTTAAAGTCAAGACTCTTGAGTTTCCTCACTAAGCCTATTTACATACTGGATAATTCAGTGGATTAAACATTAATTATTCAGTTTTTGGTGAAAATATTAATTTTACTTGCAAACAGTAGTGATGCTTCTTCTTCTATGAATAAGTATATATATATATATATATATATATATATATATATATATATAGTTCTACACTTAGACACAAAACTTTGTATAGCTCATTCCACTCACGCTGGAAGTCACTCCCTTTGCCAGTGACCTCCTGAGTTCCTTCAAACTGTTAGAAACCACTTCTCAGTGTTCAAGGGACTCTGTGTCTTTCACCAAAAACAAAATGTTAAATAAGTGGTAGATAAAAAACCTGTTGTTAAACAATTAAGGAACTTTCTAAATGACAAAATGGAATGTGTACATGACACATGTGATGTGTTTTAAAATTCTTAGAATAATTACTCTTGAAATAATAAAAAATGGCCATCATTATGATCACATTCCCACCATCTAATTATATATATATATATATATATATGACTTATTATTTTCTGTGCATTTAAGTATAGTCTAACAGGCAATTTAAAGTATTTTAGAATGAATGCATTGTTTTCTAAATTTGCCTCAATAAAAATTTACTGCATTTCATTATATTACATTACTTTGCCTCTAATTCTTAGTTACTTGCACTGTGTTGCTCACTAAAGACCATTATTTTAGCTGCCTGCCTTTATTTCTGATTTTGGAATCATTTTTTTCTTGTTTGACTGTGCTTTAGTTTAATAAATACGGATCTGTAGACCTGATCTCGAGTTATCGCTTTCCTCCTAAGGGGTCATTCGGACAGCTTTGCCGAACATGGACAGAGAAGTGAAGGAGCAATACCAGGTCCTCATTCAGGCCAAGGACATGGGCGGCCAGCTGGGAGGACTGGCAGGAACTACCCTCGTCAACATCACCCTCACCGACGTCAACGACAACCCGCCCCGCTTCCCCAAAAGTACGTCAGCTATCTTCTTAAGTTTAAATTAGCAGGCTTTGTGATCGAAAATTCTCCCACAGAGATCATCGGTCTTTAGGAAAGAGAACAGAGGAATTATGTGACTCAGAATTTAAATTTTTCATGAAAATCATGACTTATTAGAAAGGCACAAAGGGTCAAAAGTTGAATGGTTGCTTTCATGCTAATTGATTCCTGTTGAAATACAATATTCATAATAGGTTGGTGCTTTGCTCTCAAATCTTACTAAGTAAAAGAGTAATATAAACTTACACAATCTAAGGTAAGATATCATCACATTCATAACAGATATTTTTCCACAGTATTCTTTTATCATGTAAGGATTATGAATATTGCATGCCTTATTTTGTCAATTATGTTCATAGAAATAGTTTAATACATTTTTGTGTGCTCCTTAATATATTTTCTGTAATATTGATGTTGTTTCTTTTACTTTTGTTCTGACTAGTTACTGTACCCCAGACTTGCAATATGTGACAATTGCTATACTTTTTATGATAATAGAAAGAGTCACACCTATCCCTTCTCCATAGCTCTGTGTTTCCTTGAAAATGAGCACTTCTCACCTAGGTTTCGACTAGGTTCCTCCTGGGCATTTCATTTAACACCAGTCAGTAACTATTTGCTTTCTGGTGTATTTTTAAGAATTGTTTCCTTCTTCCAGAGAAGACTCTTGAAGCTGAGAGGTTTTATTCTGATTTATTAAGGGAAAAATGATTTTCCTCTTTCCCTTTGCAGAAGGGTTTATAAGCTCATTTATATATAAATATATATGTATACATTATAATATATACATATTATATATAGCATATAGTATATGTATTGCTAGATAGTTAGATAGACATGTGTATAAATCTGTCTATATATGAGATTATTTCAATAAAATAGATATCTTATTTTTGAGCCATATGTTTTGTTTCATATTTTAATTTATTCTCATATTTTCTTATATCAGTAACATATTTTCTTTATGACAAGAGCTTTACTCCATGAAAAGAAAATACAATGGATAAATGTTGCAAAATTGGCGATTAGAAACTATGGTACTTTAATTAATGTGTTAATTTGTTCAATTAATCCCTTCCACTAAGCATACATGCTTCAAAATGCCATGTTGTTTGTGCACCAGAAAGGCAGACGATTCTGTGAAACAATACAGTTGAATTAATTTATTAAAGAAAAATAAGTGTCCCCACTTTAGCCAATGATATGGCAAGTGATTAGGAAACCATATATAGTCATTAAATGTACAGAATGTTTAAAAATTATACTCAACTTTCTGTTAAAGGAAACAAAAACTAAAAACAAATAATGCAGTTGGTTCTCTAGCATACAACATTATTATGAAATGTGATTCCAACAGTAAAAACATTCCATTTCCTCCTTGTTTTTTTTTAAATTTTGTTTTACTCTCAAGCTGAGGAACACAGGGGTTACAGTTACATAACATTTGTGGTTAAACTTGTTTTGTTTTTTTGTTTTGTTTTATCTTTTCATTCTCTTGTCTTCTGTGAAGCAAGGTCTAATAGCTACTTGAGAAGGATAGATGGAGACATTATATTGTGTATATGTAAAAGTGGTATTATAAACTCGAGTCATGCTTTGGATTTAGTATATGTAAAATGTGGTGGAAAGTAGTTTATGTGATAGCATTCCTTTGCTCTCATTTCTGTGCTTGTGAGTGGTGGCAAGTCAACTTGAATTTGATTACTTGCAGAGGTATTCACAGATATTGTTTGAGTGTGGCAGGTAAAAAAACAACTATTTTGATATTATTTTAAAGTGTAAGCGATTTGAAGGTAGGAAATAGCAAATATAATTTTAGGGAGCATAACTCAACTTATTCACATGATTGATAGCAGGTACTTTCCATTCAGAGATGCAAAGTCCTTATAACCTATAAGATGAAAACCTAGTATGAGAAAGTATGATTGATAAAAGAGACCCAGACGAATAGACTAGGGCATAGTAACATGGCAATCCCTTAATGAAACCTTGAACATCTTAATTTTTTTTTTATTTTTATTGTGAACATACTGTACAAAGGAGTTACAATTACATGGGCAAGATAATGAGTACATTTCTTATCAAGCATTGCAGCCTCCTCCTTTCTTTACCCTTCACATCCTTTCCCAGCCTCCCACCCCTCCCTCCCCCCAACACCCCACCTAATCCTCCCCCCATTACCCCCCCACCAAAGTTGTAAAGTTCATTTTCGACATGACAACTTGTACTTCTCATTGTTGCAGCGGGTCCACCTGTATCCTTAAACGACTTGTTTTCCCCTTCTCCTCCACAAATTATACCGACATAAAATATAGTGAAAGCAGGGGTTATACTGTGGGGGATCGGACATACTAACAACAAAGAAATAATCTTATAAATGTGTTAGAAACAAATGCATGAAAGAAAAAAAAACATTTAAATACAAACTAAGGTTTCATTTTCCTAACATCACATTATCTGTCCTTTTCTGCTTGACTCATACATATACTAGATATTGCAAATAAGGGAAACCATGGGACCTACGTTTCTTTGGGCTTGGCTTACTTCACTCAATATGATTTTTTCCAAGCCTTTCCATTTCCTAACAAATAGGGCAATGTCATTCTTTCTGATGGAGGCATAGAATTCCATTGTGTATATATACCATATTTTCTTGATCCATTCATCTACTGAGGGGCATCTGGGTTGGTTCCATATCTTAGCTATGGTAAATAATGCTGCAATAAACATAGTTGTGCTGGTAGCTTTACTGTGGTCTTGTTTGTAAACATTTGGGTAAATGCCCAAAAGTGGGATTGCTGGGTTATAGGGGAGCTCTATGTGGAGTCTTTTGAGGAACCTCCATACTGCTTTCTTGATTGGTTGAACAAGTTTACACTCCTACCAACAATGAAGTAAGGTTCCTTTCTGTCCACATCCCCTCCAGCATCTGTTGTTGTTAGTTCTTGATTATAGCTATTCTAACTGGAGTGAGATGGTTTCTCAATGCTGTTTTGATTTGCATTTCTTTTATGGCTAGGGAGGTTGAGCATTTCTTCATGTGTATATTGGCCATCCTTCTTTCCTCTTCAGAGAAGTTTCTCTTTAAGTCTTTAGCCCACTTATTTATTGGGCAGTTGTTTCTTTGAGGATTTGTTGTTGGGGGATTTGATTTTTTGAGTTCCAAGTATATTTTAGATATGAGACCCTTGTCCATTGTATGGCTAGTGAAGATCTTCACCCAATCTGTGGGCTTTCTGTTGATCTTGCTAGCTATGTCCTTTGCCATGCAGAAGCTCTGCAACTTCATGAAATCCCATTTGTTCAACCTTTCTTTGATTTGTTGTGTTTCTGGGTCTCTATTAAGAAAATTTTGGCCTGCTCCAAGGAGACCTAGCATTTCTCCTATTCCATCCTGTAATGTTTTCAGAGTGTCTGCTTTGACTACGAGGTCTATGATACATTTGGAGTTGATTTTGTTGCAGGGTGATATATAAGAATGTAGCATTAGTTTTCTACACGTAGTTAACCAATTTTGCCAGCACCATTTACTGAAGAGGCTGTCTTTCTTCCATTCTATTGTTTTAGCTCCCTTATCGAAGATTAGATGGCTATAGGTCTGTAGGTTCATTTCTGGGTTTCAATTCTATTCCATTGGTCCTGATGTCTGTTCTTGTGCCAGTACCAAGCTGTTTTGATTACTATGGCTTTATAGTAGAGTTTGAAATTTAGTATTGATATTCCTCCAGCAGTGTTCTTTCAGTTGAGGAGGGTTTTTGGTATTCGGGGTCTTTTATTGTCCCATATGAATTTTTGGATTGCCTCTTCTATTTCCTTGAAGAATGAGGTTGGAATTTTGATAGGTATCACATTGAATTTGTAGATAGCCTTGGGAAGTATTGCCATTTTCATGATGATAATCTTTCCAATCCAGGAGCATGGGAGGTTTTGCCATTTTCTAAGTTCTGTTTTGATTTCCTTTTTCAAGATTTTAAAGTTTTCATCATAGAGGTCCTTCACTTCTTTGGTTAAGTTAATTCCTAGGTATTTTATTTTTTGAGGGGCTATTACAAATGGAGTTACTTTCCTAATTTCAGCCCCACTTTTCTCATTGTTGGCATACAGAAAAGCCATTGATTTTGGGGGGTTAATTTTATAACCTGCTACTTTGCCAAAGTTTTGAATCAGCTTGCGTAATTTGAGAGTGGAGTCCATGGGATTCTTTAAATACAAGATCATGTCTGCAAAGAGGGAGAGTTTTATTTCTTCTTTCCCTATTTGGATCCCCTTTATGTCTGCATCTTGTCTTATTGCTGTAGCTAGGCATTCTAATACTAGATTGAAGAGAAGTGGAGAGAGTGGACATCCTTATCTTGTTCCTGAGTTAAGAGGAAATGGCTTTAGTTTTTCACCATTAAGTATAATGCTGGCTGTAGGTTTGTCATATATAGCTTTTATTGTATTGAGGAATGGTCCATGGATTCTTAATTTTTCCAAAACGTTCATCATAAAGGGGTGTTGGATCTTGTCGAATGCTTTTTCTGCATCTATTGAGATAACCATGTGGTTCTTATCCTTGCTCCTGTTGATGTGATGAATAATATTAATTGATTTGCGTATATTGAACCAGATTTGCATCCCTGAAATGAATTCTGTTTGATCATGGTGTATGATTTTTTGGATGAATTGTTGAAGTTGATTGGCCAAAATTTTGTTGAGAAGTTTTGCATCAATGTTCATCAAAGAAATGAGTCTATAGTTCTCTTTCTTTGATGAATCCCTGCCTGGTTTTGGGATGAGGGTTATGATGGCTTCATAGAATGTGTTCAGTAGTGAACTTTCTCTTTCAATTTCATTGAAGAGTTGGAGGAGTATTGGTATGAGCTCTGCTTTGAAGGCCTTGTAAAATTCCACTGTAAATCCGTCTGGTCCTGGACTTTTCTTAGCTAGGAGGTCTCTTATTGCTGTTTCTATTTCAATGCTTGATATGGGCC